ACTCTGCTGACTACAGTTTGCAAAGTTCAAAACACAATAGCAGTGATGTTGCCCTCTAGTGGTGAATGATCAGAATATCTGGTAAAAGGGAAGTCCCCAGTCCTGCAACACCTCTCAACAAAAACAAATCCTACATAATCCAGAAGAGTGAGAATTGTCATTAACTTTCTGACACTTACATAAAATATATTACCATAAACATACATGCTGAGTAAAGGTCATTCTAACAGTGACAGAGCTGTCATGAACAACAGCAGTGGCTGACTACTCTGCTAAAACAGGAAGGCACTGATGGAGCTCTGAATCTCAGTACTGATTCTGAATTTGGGGCTTTGAGAATGGAAATTTTGGGGTTTGAGGACAGAAGTTCAAAAGGAACAATGTGCGTTTGTTGCTGTTGTTAGATCACTGAGATAGTCTTTCTGCATGGGGAGGCAAAGAGACTTAAACCCACTGTGTCCCAAATGAACTCCTCCCGGCTCTAGCTGTTGACAGATGGGAATGGGGTGGCAGCACAGCTTGCCTGTCTCTGCTCCACCCCCTCACTCTGCAGCAAGGCTGCCAGTCAACATGCTCCGCCCACTCACAGGGCACCCAGTCCTGACATGGAGAAGAGAGGTTGGTTGGGAAAACTGAACCTCACAGCTGTAAGCCCACACCAGCCACTGGGCACACCAGATCCTCTGTGAGAGCATCGAGCTACTGCCTAAAGAAAATAGCACAGAATAGGAAGCAGCAATAAAAAGAAGGCATTCAGAAAATAGAAGAGTTCTAACTACAAAAAAAGTTAGATGATATTTAATCTATCAAATAACAATAATACTACAGAAAAGCAGCAATCAATACAGGAGTGGGTCAGAAGGATCAAAACTGTGGCCAAATCAAAGGGTTAATTGCAAATGAATTCTAGAATGAGAAAGAATTAACATAATTATTCTGGATTTAAATCTGGTGAGATGTCTCAGACTGCAGAATAAAAAGACAAACCAGTTTAAATAGCTATACAGCTTAAGATGCATGGAAGGACAGGAGTAAAGAGAAAAAGATAGAAATAATTAGAGAAAGAAAGAGGTTAGAAAAAGAAAGGATGTCAGAAAATAAAATAGGAGGAACAAAGAAAAAAGAGTAAGGAAGAGAAAAAAATGTCAAGAATTCTTTACCTAGAAAACTACCCTTCAAAATGTTTATTTTACAAGTAAACAAAAACTGAGATTTTTTTTTCAAGGAAGACCTACCACACAGAAAAACATTAAATAGAATCTTTTGGATTGAAATGAAGACACTGGAGAAAAGCTCAAATTCATATGAAAATATCAAAACTAGCCTGTCAGCTGTTGTGGGTGAGGCTATTGCAGCCACAGTGGTAAACTCCAGGGCTACAAACCACTGGGTGGTTACTTGGTGCTGAGGCCCAGAATGCCTTCCACAGCAGCATGTAAAAGCTATTCCGATCTTGCTCTCAAAGGGGAAGGCCGAGGAGTCCAATCTACTGGATCTGCAGATAACGATTTCAATCAGCTGGAGGCGTTGACTGCTAAATGCAAGAAACAAGATCAAGATGTTGCCTTTCCAAATTCCGGAAGAGCCACAGACAAAAGGCTGAGCAAACTCCATGAATCACTTGTTAAGACCATGGACTGTGGGGGCCTTAGTTGATGAGTTGATCACAAGTGTTATTCAAGAAACTCAGCTCCCCTGCCCCCTCAGGGGGAGGTGATCAAAGAGCAGGCCAATCAGATTATGTCAGAGGCAGTCCCTCTTCCCATTACTATGTAACCTACTTGGACACTAAACTGCCATCTGTGCAGGGGTTCTAGGTTATCTCCATGCATGGTATTTGGTTGGAGTATGAGTCTCTGGGAAGACTTACCAGGCCACAGAAGATGACAACGCAGACACTCCTGATGTGATCTGATAGACTAAGATCAGAAGGAAGGAGAGGAGGACCTCCCCTATCAGTGGACTTGGGGAGGGGTATACATGAAGAAGGGGGAGGGGTATACGTGAAGAAGGGGGAGGGAGGGTGGGATCGGGAGGGGAGGAGGGAGGGGCTTACGGGGGGATAGAAAGTGAATAAAGTGTAATTAATTTAAAAAATGTAAAAAAATATATTAAAATTAAAAAAAAAAAAAAGAAACTCAGCCCAGTGCACAGCCTATTATTGCAATAGGGTTGGCAGTTGGGAAGCATAGACAGGGCAAACCAGGCAGTGTGAAGCAGCAGTGTGAGCCAGCGTTGCCTACCAAGAATGTGTGCCAGCAGTGGAAACCAACAGGAGGGGACCAGCAGGAGGTGTTTTAGAAAGTGAAGAGAGCTACCCAGAAGAATCCCCCACCTCCAACACCTATCAAAGAAGCAAGGACCCAATGGCTGTGTTTGGGATTAATAAGGTCAAAGTCAATGATGTCCTATGGAGACATATGTTCAGAGATAGAAAACATCCATAGTGATGCTGAAGATGATGCAGCAAAGAGTTGAAGTGATTAAAACACTTGTTCATGATAGTGATCTGATCTTTAAGAACCTGTTCTCTGCCATTGGTATTAAATCTTCAAATTCAAATATTAAAAAAGGGATCCTCGATAAATGTACCCCAGACGTAAATGTAAAAGGCAATATAAACTCATCTTGTTGGTACTTGATTTTCTTCTGGCTTATCTTTAAATGACTCTAAAACCAGTAATTACAAATCTGCATTGATAAGTGAGTAATCTATAAAGACATGGCTTGTGGTGACTACAATAAATGGAAAACAGAAACATGACTACAAAAGCAAGGTTTTGTTTACTATTGAAACTAACGTAGCATTAGTTAGATCTAGACTGTCATAAAATAAGATACTAGTTTTAATTCCTAAAATGCAACTGAAAAATAATTCAAAAATATATAGTGGGTGCTAGAGACCCAAACTCCTGTTTGATAGAAAGTACTTTACTCATTGAGCCATCAGTGAAAAAATTTTTTTTTGTATTTTTAAATTTTATTTATTTTTATTTATTACAATGTATTCACTTTTAAAAATTTATTGTTTTATTAATTATAGTTTTTTTTACTCTTTATCCCAGCTGTAGCTCCTTCCCTCGACCCCTCCCAATTTCACATACCCTCCCTCTTCTTATGAGTTCACTGATAGGGGAGGTCTTCCTCCCCTTCTCTCTGACCCAAGCCTATCAGGTCTCATCAAGACTGGCTGCACTGTCCTCCTCTGTGGCCTAGTAAGGCTGCTCCCCAAGTAGAAGCATTCCAAATGCCCATCACCCAGCAGACACAAGATGTGGGATCTCTATGCTGTCGAGTATTATTTAACCCATAAAAGGAAATTACGTACTGAAATCTGGAGGAAATGGAGGAAACTGGGAAACAGTGTGCCTTAAAGAAAGAAGCCAGACACAAAAGGTCACATTTGGTGCTGGTCCACTTGCATTATGTTCAGAAATAAGGAGAAGGGGCGGGATTGGGAGGGGACGAGGGTGAGGCTACAGCTGAGATACAAAATGAATAAATTGTAAAAAATAAAAAATTATATTAAAGAAAGAAGGTGATCTTGAGCTGTGAGAACACACGTGCAATTGCTGAATGATATTATATGAGGTTTATTTTTTCATGATGAAAATGTTCTAGAACATAGAAGTGTACCAAAAACTGCTAAATTGTGCGTTCACAATGGTCAGTTTTATGGAATATACTTTATATTTCAATTTTAAAGAGTGATCCAAGTATTTCATAATAATGAATTTTGAGAAAACATTATCTTTAGGTTCAGTTTTCATGGTAAAGTTGATATGGATTAGAGAGGACATGTATGAAAGATTAAGACATTGAAAGTAGAACTTAACACAAGATAAACTGTATTTAGAAACTACAAGAGATTGATAGTTTAGTACATTAGAGTATAAGACTCCTGCAAACCAATGTCATAACTGAAATACACAAAAAGTGGTATATCAAAGAAAAATATCTGTACCACATGACAATGGCTTAAGACCCAGAATATATAAAAGTATACTTTCCAAATCAATCAAAAACTTGGCTAAAAGATAGGAAATATTTTAGAATTCACCTAAGAAGAAATATCAACATGCCATAAGCATATCCAAGATCAATATGAATAAAGGATCACAAAGCAAAGCAGTGTGGCGTTCCCGAGTGCATTTTACTGTGGGGAGGCATTCGTGAAGCTGTACAGAAATGACACTCACGTGGACCAGCAGGTGCAAAGAGAAGTTGATACAAGCTTTCAGAAAAAAAAATGGCAGTATATTCCAAAATGTGCATATTTAAGCCTAGGCATTTCAAGTCTAAATAAAACCCTAATGGGGGAGGGGAAAAATGGGCACAAAGAGCTGAAGAGTGCTGTCGCCAGCTTATTTCAGCAAAGCACTAGAATCCTCAAATGTCCATCTGCGGAAAAATCCCTCTGAATTTACACCATTATGCAGCCTCTTGTCCCTGTTCTTGGATAATCCCTCTGTATTTATGGCATTAGCCTCCAGTCCCTATTCTTAGATATCAAGAAATTGAGGTAATTTCCAGGAAGAAATTAATTTTCAAAGTACAATTCATAAGAACCAGAAAGAGAATTCGGCACTTGCTGCCAAACCAGAGTTAGATTCTCCAGCACCGATATTATGGAAGGAGAGAATTGTTCTTTGATATCCACAGGCTCTCTCTTGCTCTCTCTTTCATACATGTCAAAAATGTTAAGAATGATATGTGCAATATGATTTGATGATAGAAAACAAAACAAAAGACCAACTTGTCACATATTCCAAGATGTCAACTGCATCTCCCTCTGTTAAGAAGCCCAAGCTAGGAAGGGGCAAAACATACTTCTGGACTTGAATTTACATTTCACTTTACTGTTTGAATTTTTATAAGAACTAAGATGAGCATGACTTGATTAAAATATAATTTTGTAGTATACATTTTGTACCTGTGATACTTCATAAAGCTACTTTCAAGTTTTTCTTTACTTATAAACAAAACAGGAAAATTCTTACCTTCCAAGTTTTCAATTCTTTCAATGTTGTTTAATGCTAAGTTCAAATATTCAAGTTTCTTGAGTTTGCTAACATTTTCTGAAATACAAATAAGGTGATTAATTGACCTTGGAGAGAGAAGACTATTTTATAATTTCTCATGACAATGACACAGAGAAGTAAAGGGCTATGTGTGGCTCCTGGCTTTTCAGACGTTTACTGTCTCAGGTGCAGCTTCTACTGCTGTGATAAGTCACCATGGCCAAAAGCAACTTGGGGATAAAAATTTTTGTTTCTTCTTACACTTCCAGATAACAATCCAACACTGTAGAAAATCAGGGCAGAAGAAACTCTCAAGGTATAAAACTGAAGAAGCCACAGAGGAGTGCTGCTTACTGCGCTTCATATTTTATACCATCCAGGCCCTACAGCCTAGGGGTGGTAATAGCCACAGTGATTTAGGTCCTCCCGTGCCAATCAGCAGTCCAGAAAATCCACCACAGTTTTGTCCACAGGCCAATTTGATGGGGAAATTTTCTCAATTGAGGTTCCCTCTTCTCAAATGCCTCTAGCTTGTGTCAAGTTGACATAAAACTAGACAGCAAACCACTACTACAGACACTAGGTTTCCTGCAATTTCCCCCCTCCTTTCCTTCTTAAGAGTACCAATGTTTGCTCACATCTCTACCCATCTCTAACTCCATTGGGAGTATTTAGGTGGTCAGTGTCCAGTACTCAGTATCTCCTTCTCAGGTTTGAAGGCAGTGGAACTTAAGCTTAACTCAACCAGACCACATCATTTCCTAGCAGCCATGTGCTAAAGAAAAGAACACACCACAACTATACAGAGTCAGGTGAAAACCCAATGTTCTCTGCTTCAGGACTGCCTATCGGTTTTTACTACAAGTTGGTAACAAGGACAGAACTCTTATTCCCTTTAAAAATCAAGTTTGGTCGTGAAGGAATTAGCTGCAAATAGAGCGTACTCTGTGGTGGTGGAACCGAGAAAAGGGGCCCACTGCCCCTGTAGTCCACTTTATCTTGACCAAAATTAACCTGACATGAGAGTATCTTTTTAAATGAATCTGAAGGGCCGTCCACACAAAAAAATATGAGTTAGTCAAGGAATCACTGTCGAATGAAGTGTCTCTAAAATAGTGATAATAAACACAGCTAACTGTTTTGTATCTGCCATAGCATATGCTAGCCATTTCACCTATATTACATTTTAACAGTTATTTAATTGCATTTATGTATTGTGTACAAATGTATGGGTGTGGGTGATTGTGTCACAGGATGTATGTGGGTATCAGAAGACAACTTGTGGGAATAAGATCTCTCCTTCATCATGTATAGCCTGGAGGTTGAACTCAGGTCAACAGAGAATTCAGTTCCAGAACTATGCACTAAATCACTACCCTTTATCTAAAAGAACAACTGTTTCAGACAAAAAGAAAGATGGCATTCCTGTCATTACTTATGCTTCTCTCCTCAGAGATCTTATGAATAGCAAACATAACTTTCTAAGCACTCTTCAAATAGCCGAATTTATCTGAGAACAAATTAGTTCTCAGTACCGCAAGACCACTCTTTTGCAAATTTTTAATTTATTATTATCATTTATTTAATTTGTATCCAGGCTGTGGCCCCTTACCTTGTCTCCTCCCATTCCCACTCTCCCTCCCTCTTCTCCTCCTATGCCCCCCCCCCGTCCAGTGATAGGGGAAGTCCTCTCTCTCCTTCTATTTGAACCTAGCCTATCATGTCTCATCAGGACTGGTTGCATTGTCTTCCTCTGAAACAAGGGGAGATAGAAAGTTCTGGAGGGGACAGGAACTCCAAAAGGAGACCAACAGATCCATATAAACTGAGCCCTGGGGGCCCTGAGGATACTGATACTCCAACCAAGGACAATGCATGGAGAGGACCTAAAACCCCTGCTCAGATTTAGCCTGTAGACTCAGTCTCCAAGTGGTGCCCCTAATAAAGAGAGCAGGGGCTTTCTCTGGCATGAAATCAGTGACATAGTCTCTGATCACCTCCACCTGGGGGGGTGTAGCCTTGCCAAGACAACTCATTTTTAAAATAAGAATCTGAAGATGAATTAAGCCCTCTCCAATTACTCTAGTAGTACTGATGTTTACAAAAGGGTCTCTAGCAACATCTGAGCTCTCAGTTGTCAAGTTGTCAAGGTATTTGGGGATTTCTGTGTGCCAGCAATCAAAACAAACAAACAAACAAAACAACAAAAAAAAAAAAACAGTGTCTTATTTTTAACTACAGCCAGATTCTGATCCTCAGCATTTGTCTGTTACCTTTTAATCTCTGAAATAGCTATTATTGAGCAAGAGTTCTGATTGTTATGAAAACAAAAAAGTCAAATAAAATCATCATTTCATTTGTGAGAAAGAAAGAAAGAAAAAAGAAAGAAAGAAAGAGGAAGGAAGGAAGGAAGGAAGGAAGGAAGGAAGGAAGGAAGGAAGGAAAGAAAAAGAAAGAAAGAAAGAAAGAAAGAAAGAAAGAAAGAAAGAAAGAAA